GGATAGTACAGGACCTGGGGAGGAAATACAGGACACGGACGGATAGTACAGGACCTGGGGAGGAAGTACAGGACAGGGAGGGATAGTACAGGACCTGGGGAGGGAGTACAGGACACGGAGGGATAGTACAGGACCTGGGGAGGGAGTACAGGACAGGGAGGGATAGTACAGGACCTGGGGAGGGAGTACAGGACACGGACGGATAGTACAGGACCTGGGGAGGGAGCAGGACATGGAGGGATAGTACAGGATATGGAAGGAAGATCCTGCAGTCATCCTTAAAGGTAGGCAGTAGTGTGACATCTGAGATTGGTATACCTTGTATTTATTTATTTGCATATTTTTGAGACAGGGTTTCACTCTGTCATCCAAGCTGGTATGGCCTCGTGTGACCACAGCTCACTGTAGACTCCAAATGCTGGGCTCATGCAATACTCCCACCTCAGCCTCCCAAGTACCTCCCAAGTCTGGTATGCACCACCAGACCTGGCTAATTTGTTTTTTTAATTCTTTGTAGAGACGGGGTCTCACTATGTTTCCCAGGCTGGTCTGGAACTTCTGAGACCAAGTGATCCTCCTGCCTCAGCCTCCCAAATGTATGGATTTCTGGCATGAGCCACCATGCCTAGCGAAATTTGACTTTTAGAGTAAGACAGACATAAATTATGACCCTCACTCTAGCACATTAAATGTGACACTGGATAATTCGTTTCACTTCTCTGTGCCTCAGTCTTCTCGTCTTTATGCAAGTATCTATCTTGCATAATTATAAGAATGAAAGAGAATACATGCATAAGGCCTATAACCCTATCTGACAAATAATGGTCACTCAATAAATGGGGATTAATAATGATGAAAATGGGCTGGGCCGGGCCTGTAATCCCAGCACTTTGGGAGCCCAAGGCAGGTGGATCACCTGAGGTCACGAGTTTGAGACCAGCCTGGCCAACATGGTGAAACCCCATCTCTACTAAAAATACAAAAATTAGCTGTGTGTGGTGGTGCACACCTGTAGTCCCAACTACTTGGGAGGCTGAGGCAGGAGAATCACTTGAACCTGGAAGGTGGATGTTGTGGTGAGCCAAGATCGCACCACTGCTCTCTGCTTGAGTGACAGAGCGAGACTGCATCTCAATAAATAAATAAAATAAAAAGATGAAAACAAGAACAACCTAGGGAGGCTGAATTTCAATGGATCTTAATTTTTCAGGACCTTTGAAGTCCTAAGTAAAACCATGTCATCCAAAAGGAATAGTAGATATTAATTAATACTGTGATGCAGGGCCTTTTGCTCAAGTGAAGGGAAAGAACAAGAGTGTTGGCAGGATAAAACTCTATGGTACCTCAAAGCCAATTATTCTTAGAATAAAGGTAAATATAACAGTGTCTTTAGTTAAGTCTCTAGAAATAAGCATTAAAATTTCTACAAACTGGCCTGGCAGTGGTTCACACCTGTAATCCCAGCACTTTGGGAGGCCAAGGCAAGAGGATCGCTTGAGCCCAGGAGTTTGAGAACAGCCTAGGCAACATAGCCAGACTCTATCTCTACAAAAAAAATTTGAAAACTAGCCAGGCATGGTGGTACATGCCAGTAGTCCCAGCTACTTTGGAGGCTAAGTCAAGAAAAATCATTTGAGCCCAGGAGTTCAAGGTTGCAGTAAGCTATAATCACACCACTGCACTCCAGCCTGAGTGACAGAGTGAGACCCTGTCTCAAGAAAAAAAAACAACTCTTTAAATCTATAACGCAGGAATTCTACTCCTAGGATATAATGCAGAGAATCTTGCCCACCTGAGAGACAGGTAGGAAGTTGATTTAAACAACGCTAAAAGCAGTACTCTTAAGGCCAGGCATGGTGGCTCACTCCTGTAATCCCAGCACTTTGGGAGGCCAAGGTGGGTGGATCACTTGAGGTCTGGAGTTCAAGACGGTGAAACCTCATCTCTACTAAAAGACACAATTAGCCAGGCATATTGGTGAGTGCCTGTAATCCCAGCTACTCAGGAGGCTAAGGGAGGAGAATCACTTGTACCCAGGAGGCAGAGGTTGCAGTGAGCCAAGATTGCATTACTGCCTGGGCAACAGAGCAAGACTCTGTCTCAGGAAAAAAAAAAAAGCACAATAATAATAATAATAATAATAATGGCAACAGTGTAAATGTCCAGCAATAAGAAAATGGGTGAATAAATTATGTTCACAGAATAAAATACTATTAAACAGTTAAAATGATAACTAGATCTATATATATCAACATGAATATATCTCAAAAAAAATGACAAGTAGAAAAAAAGCCAAAAGATAATTGATACCTTTAGTTGAGTATCATAATATTAGTATCTGCATTTTTCTATTTTTTAAAAACTCCATATTTAAAAAAAGCTTTGAAGTTCCTATGAGATTACATTTCTTTATTGCTTTTTTCTTTTCTGGTAACAGCCTATAGTATAACACTTTTAATTCATCTGTGTTTACATGAAAATTTGTAATAAAACTAGGGGAATATTTAATATTTATATTCCTACATTTAATCATTGACGCATGTACACCACCAGTAACAAACATTTTTTAACACAGCCTTTTGTTCCCCATGAAAATTATTATTCTTTCCTTCTATATTTATATCAACAAATTTCCAGTCGCTTTTCCTTAGTAATCTTGGAAGGTACCCTCTATAAGTAACATACTGCTTATTCCTTATATGGCAAATGTATGAATATATAAAGCAGGTAATGCCCTTCCCACAGGGGTTTCCTTACACAAACCAAGTCATATTTATAGCCTTAGAAAAGCAGCTAGTAAGTTAAGGGCTGAATACCAGTCTTTCTCCCAGCAAGGTTTACATATCTGTATCTATCTATCTATCTAGATAGATAGATAGATAGATATTTACTTTGGAATGTAGATATCATTAATTCATGGTTAGTTGAACTGTAATCAACTGCATATAAAGGTGAAGTTTCTTAAGAATTTGTATAAAAGGTAAAGAATTTATAGTCTTTAAAGTGATTCTTACATAGAAAGCCAGTACTGCACTGTAAACTTATTTTTAAAACATTTTTTATATTTGAAAGAGCAACTTATAATTGTTTGTATTTCATTTAGGTCCTTTCCAAAGCTAAAGGCCAAGGAAAGAAAAAATAATTATGGCAAGAAAGTGGCAGAAGATCCCTTCTGCTCCTTTTGTGATGATACATACGGAGAGGTGGCGATGCTGGGTGGGTTCTTTGTTGAAATATTTGTTTAGCAAAAATATTCAGAAAATGAGGAAGATAAGTAAACATTGTAGAGAAACTGAAAACTGAAAATTTAGGAATGCAACGTGACGGCAAGTCTTGGCTCAATCAACATGAAAGAAACAGTCTCATTTTGGGTTTATTACAGACACACGTTCACGGTCTCATTATCATCTTTAAGCATGATACACAACAGAGAGTCTTTAAACCCCTTTAAATATATACTAGGATCTCAATTTTTCTACTTTGTAAAAACTCTATTTTATATTATATATATATATATATATATATATATATATATATAATATTTACTTTTTTTTTGAGACGGAATCTTGCTCTGTTGCCCAGGCTGGAGTGCAGTGGCGCGATCTCAGCGCACTGTAACCTCTGCCTCCTGGGTTCAAGTAATTCTTATGCCTCAGCCTCCTCAGAATCTGGGACTACAGGCACATGCCACTACAACAGGCTAACTTTTGTATTTTTAGTAGAGATGGAGCTTCACCATGTTGGCCAGAATTATCTCGATCTCCTGACCTTGTGATCCACCCGCCTTGGCCACCCAGAGTGCTGGGATTACAGGTGTGAGCCACCATGCCCAGTCTTCCCCTTTATATTTTGAAGGTGGTTTTTATAGTTTTAGTGTTATTTAAATTCAATCCCTGCCTATAGATGTCATAATACTCTTCATTCCTATTCTTTTACATTGATATTCATTAGCTATGTCAATACTTTCAACAGATTTTTGTTTTGTTTTCCTTTTCTTGAATGCCTTCCTATTTCCTACATATTTTGTCACAATATATCTACCGAAATTGCACTTTAGTTGGTTTATTTTCCTATCAATTGCCCTCAGAATTCATACATGTGTATACGTGTGTATATGTAACACAGACTGTATATAGTCAGCATTGATGTCATATATCAGCATTAATTAAATTGCAAAAAAATATTTTACTCCCTATCTCTTCCCTCTCTAATTGTTTTATCATCAACAGTCTAGTCTAGTTCTTATCTACACATACTCTGCTGTCAATTTTATATCACACCTTTACTTAGCATCACACATACATTTTCTGATACTGTTACACCATTTTTGGTTAAGATTATATATGCATAAAATTTTTTTTCAACTTTTTTATAATAGTGAGAATGTGTGCCTTTTAAATTATTTTGTATTACAAATAATATTTCCCAAACCATCTTCATAATACATATTTCCTCCTTTATGTTATTTCCCCTGAAAAGCAAACATTCAGAAATGGGAAATGGAGTTAAAGCTATTTGCCAAAGGATACTACCAAATTACAATGTTTAGTAAGACACAAACACAGAGGTTTCATGAAAGCTTTTTTTTCAATGTTTTTGATTTCAAAGAAAGCTTTCCTGTATATCCTCTCAGTTGACATTTATAATTTTCATAACACTTCTGTGATGACAGTAGTGAATTATTATTCTAAATTCTACAGAGGAGCAAACTGAGGCTCACAGTTGAGTGACTTTTCCAAAGTGACTTTTGTGGAACTAGAATAAAACTCAGACCTGACTCCAAATATAGAAGTATTTCCACACTGCTACAATTCCTTTATTATCTTTTAAATAAAAGTTTCAACTTGAAAATTCTCCAACTTCCTTAATTTTTCTTTTAACAATTGACTTTTCTGTGTAGAAGACTGTCCAAGTCTTCACTCCAAACCAAGATTTCAAGATACTTAATGGGGCCATGCATTTATTTTTTAGAATATTGCTAGGGCAAGATAAACTTTTATAGAGAAAATGCTCTCCAATTAGATATAATCATTCAATTGGAAACATCATGTATCTCATTTTATAATGCATTTTTATTTGATTAAAAACATGAACTCATGAGCATCTTCTGTGGACAGACAGACTGCACGCACTGGAAGGAGGGCAAACCAGTTAGCTTATCACAGGCGCTGTGCTCAGAAAATGCAGCAAAATGTTCAAAATGCAGTTACATATATGACCCTAAAGTAAAAATGAGATGACTAAATTTTACAGAAGATGTTTAAAATAAAATTTTGAGTAAGATATTTACATTTCTTCAAATGTCAGGGAAACACAATGAAGAGGAAATTAAAACATTTCGAAACATACCCAGCGCCACCAGAGGTCTCTGCCGCTGAATGTTGAATTAGAATCTCCTCTCCACGACTGGCTACTGAGCGAAGGAGACTCTTCTGCTCGGCTAATTCCTGTTCTAACTCCTGCTCAAGGGAAAGGACAAATGCAAACACATGTATTACTTCATGATTATTGCCTACAATCATGGTTCTATCTATAAAATTCTCAGAGAATTTTGGTAGCAAGGTTTTAAGTTTGCACATTGCATAAAGCGTGTGGTTTATGTAAATACTCAAAAGTATCTCCAAAGCACTCTGTAGCATTCTTTTGCTTTGATACAGGATAGTGCTAAAAAATCTAGGGGAAAAAACCAGTGGGCCAAGGAAATTCTGCTGGGCAACAGTGCCCTCAGGTGGTGAAAAATGAACTCTCATTTTTCAAAATCAGTAGTATCATGGTAACAAGATAGATCCTTGAGAGAAGTGGCTTTTTAAGTTCTCCACTTACTTGATAAATTAGGTTATCAATAGATTTGGCCTTAATTCTTCATTATTTGTAATAAATACTCTTGTTCTTTGCGAAAATAAAATATTTTTATATGCTTTTTACAAATAGTTAAGGTACCAATGAGAAATCATTCTTATTTATCAAAGTTCATTTGTTTCACTAGGCAATAATTAGCAATCCTATTTTGTGATGGTATGTACTGGAAAGTAAAAATACAAATTGCATTCATTAAAAAAACATGCAACTTAGGCTTGTATCAATCCTTGAAGGCATTCCTGAGATTTATATTAAAATTAAACAGAATCAGAGGGCAAATCTGAAAAGAGTAGGTAACTCTGATAAAGCAGATGACAGCCATGTTACACTATTTGTAAACCTAAATGCAAGCTTTTCTTAAAGACTGGATTTTCAAATGACCCATCATCCCAGTGGTCACGAGTCAATACACTGAAACAGCCACAACTTGGTTCATTCAAAGAGAAGATAGAGACGCTCTGTCTTTAGTAGAGAAGCAACTTGTCCTTCTGAAACATGCCTCTCAGGTTCTTCCCTGGACAGATCTACAGGCTAGAGAGTGGTAGGAAACACTTTACTTTTTGTTGCTGGAGACTGCTCTGCCGCTGGTGGGTCCAGGTGGTGCGAGCTTGGGCCAGCCATTCCTGGACGCCGGGGCTCTGAGTGGCCGTTAGGTCAGCATCACTCTCCTCCTTCTCCTGTGCTGTTCCCTGCTTTTAATGAGGCAGAAATCAAGTCATGCTACACACTGGAAAACCCTAGCCAAAAGGGAGAGAAGGCTACTTTGGGGTGATCTATATAATGATATATATAAAAATGGGTCCACTGGGATGTGAAACCACATAAAAAAAAAAAAAAAAAAACAGTAACACAAAACCCATCTAAATTATGGCATTTACAGGCATAAGAACCACAAACAGATAATCACACGTAGAAATGTTTGAGGGTAAACCCATGTATTTAGAAGTTAGTCTTTTAGCTGACCAGTGTGGTCATCAGATATTTCAGAATTTTTTTCCATAAAAACTTAACTCGAGATCCTTTGATGAGCTCATTTTTTAAGTACACAAAGGTAAATTGTTTCTCAAAGGATCATTACCCATAATAACTGTGTCTCTCCTGTGAAAGGATGACCTTGCCCTATGTCACCTTCTCTCATCCAGGTCCAGACAAAGAGTTTTAGAATACTCTTCCTAAAAATTTTTCTAAAAGATTAGTCATCTATGACATTTTAATGTCTTTGAGAAGCAAAAGTTCACTGTTGTGTAAGGCATCACACTCTGGAATTCAGTAAGAGCTTAAACTTGATTCTCAGTTCATGTCGGAGAAAATGTACTGCAGCACAGATACAAGGAGTCTAAACAAGGATTTCCCAGGCCGGCTGCACATCCTCTGTCCCACCTTTCACAGACCAGGGTCTCAACCTCTGTCACAGAGCCACAGGTCCACCACAGGTAACTCAAGTCCCAAAGGCACTCAACTAGACAGGAAGCCTCATCCCTGATACTGGTCTGTGTACACCTTTAGTGTCTACCCTACTAGGGCCCGAGATTTAAATTATTCCTAGAATTCTCTGAGTGTCTGCTGTTTATATGACAATATTTACAGACTTCCCTACATAATTAATAGAAGGTACTCAAAGATGAGAATGCTTTAAGATTCTTTCAGAACCATTCAGTTAGCACATTAAAAAAAGTCATTTACTGTGGGCACATGGGGTTACCATTTTACAAATTCAAAAGCTTAACTGAGCCTTGAGAGGTCAGTGGTGTGATAATTAGAGGTGAGATCTCTGAAAAAGTACCCTTCACTCCCTCTAGCATCATCACCAGAAACTGGTCCATTGCTAAGCCGGCTTGGAGAAAGTCTGACTAAGGGAGAAAGACAAGAGTTGTTCCTTCCAGCCTGATTATCCTAATGGAATTTGAAAGACCCTGAAATGTTGCACATCAAATGGGATTAGTTCTGAATGAGAGCCTTTCTACTCACATAGATTCTTATGTCAAATGACGGATTATGATTTCAATATAGCTCATTCACTACCCATTAAGCACTCACTAGAGGCTGTTCTAGGAGCTGGGAGTGTTCTGCAAAGATGCTAGATGAGGACCCTGGTGAGTGAGACTATAAACAAACAAGATAACCGAGCTGGTGATAAGGGCTACAGAGAACTTTAAGACAGATAATGGGATAGAAAGTTTTAGGGAGGCCTAAGGAAGCATCTTTAGAAGAGACAATTGCACTCTGCATGACAAGACCACCAGCCTGACAAAGATCTAGGGTGAGGGTATTCAGACCCAGTGAACAGTTGGCACAAAGACCCTAAGATGAAAGAAATTTGCTATTTCAGAGAGAACAGAGCAGTGAAGAGAACAGTAGGGCTGGTGCAGCATGGGGCAGAGGAGGAATATTTCACAGATTGCTTCCACAGAGGAGTCTCCTACCATCTATTTCTGGGGGCTGTTCCCCTGCCCCCTGGTTCCTCTTTACTAAGTGTGAGCACAGCATGGAACCTGGCCATTCCAGCTCATCCAACCTAAATGCCCACAGAGACCCTTCTCTCGCTCTTATTTTCAGAATTTTACAGTCACCATTTTAGGGGAATAGATGGGATCTGTTTACCCTTCTGTTTCTTCTTTTTTTCATAGAATCTCATGATTAAATTGCCTGAGATAATAGATTTTACCATTATCTTTGCAAGGTGATGTCAGTGCTTGAAGTTAAAGGAAGAGTAAAACCTGTAGGTAATAGTATACATAACCCTCTCCCAGATCCTGAGCCCACCTGAGCTCAGAGGTACTTATTTCCTTTCAGATGATCCAGCCAGAGAGTACCGTTCAGCTAGAACAATGGCAGTGCAATGGTTTAAAATATGCTCGATGCATTTTGCAAGACTTTTGGAATGGGTGACTAGTGATACCCGGTTCACTAAATTCTCCACCTTCTGTGGAATTTCTCAAAGATAGGCAGTGATTTTTCTAAAGATGGGAAGTTTGGGTGGACAGGTGTTCTCCCAGAACTGGAGCCTGTGATTTTCTGCATGAAAACAGATTCTCTCTCATCTAAGAATCTACTATCTTCTAAGAATAAGCTCTAAAAGATCTGGTTCTTCCAGGCAAAGTAGAAACAGCAGTTCAAAAGGAACTTGGAGAAAATGACCTCAAGAAGTCAGTGGATGAGACCAAAAGTTGTCCCCAACAGAGCTGCTCCAGCTGCCAACGTAGTGGCTCTGGCCATGACCTGCTGACTTGCTTTTGTGGGCTCCAGGCCACTTCCTCTCTGCTCTTCTCTTCAGCAAAAATTTGTTTTTCAGAGCCCAGCCTGAAGACTCCCTTGGAAACTTCTCCCAGCCCGCAGCCCAACACATTCTTACTATGGTCTGGTTGAGAGAGGCTCCTTCAAGTTCCTTACACCAAATCTGTGCCTGGAACACTGACAACTGAAAAGTTAGATCTTAACAACTTCCTCACTTTTATATGCACAGACATATATTCAGATTTTATGTGGCTAGATTTTGTTTTTCAGTAAGTTTTTCTCTGAATGATTCAGTCATTTTGAAATTTGGACCACATAAGCAAACCATAAGACTTGGACCACAGGAAGCAAACCATGATTAAGAATCCAGTTCAAATTTCATTCTCTTTTCCCTGGGGCAAGAAGGCTCCACCAGAAGGAATGTAATTATGGTAACTACTTTCTCTGAGGTGTGATAACAGTTTTCTGCCATACCTAGGGAACAAGGAGGTTAAGTGCTTCTGTCATCAGTCCCCACTGGGTGGGGCTACATAAACTGTTTATTTTGGAAATACTAGAAGAGTAACCACTTTTGCCAGGAACATTCCTTGGAAGATGAATGAGGACTGAGCAATGCTAAACATTAAATAAAACATTTCTTTACAAAGCTTTTTATTATTTTATGGGACAATCTCTCTGTTCCTTCAATAAATTATAAAGTGTGAAAAAGACCTAAGCTTCATGAAGATACCATGTAATTTAGGAGATCTTATTACATGCCCTTATGTTCTGTAGTTCTTCATATAGAGAAGCAGCCTATTTGATGAGAAACAAAAAGGCATAGTCATTCACTGATACCCATGGAAGTCAAAGTAGTTAAAAAGAATAGAGGTAAGAGGTATTACCATTTCCCAGCTGCAGCAGCAATAAGTAATTGCGTACTTACAGTCATGTAAGACTTAGGAAGGTATTCCAACCCTCCTGAATCATCCAAGCCCCAATTAAAGGGTATGAACATTGCTGAGGGCTGCATTTAATGGAAGATTTGTTTTCTGCAACTAACTTTAGTTAATTCCAGATTAAATTTAAATTAGTTTTCTACATAAAGGGAAATGATCCTTTTCATGGCAATAATAATAATAATAAACAGGGCTCCTTTTCTTTCCACAGAGGGAAAAACAATCTTCCAGGAAGCTCTAATTATTTTAAAAGATCTATTAATATTTTATATGCTGGGAACTTCATTAGATGAAAGACGATGGAATTTATAGATAGTTTAAAAATAAACAGTAACCAATTTCCATGTAGTAAAACACTACCACATTTTTCTGCATTTACACTTCACCCAATGCGGGTAGAGTCAGGACTTTACTCAATTTAAACAATTCCCTCAGACCTGGGCAGGATCTTCAGGGTGTGGGCACCACAGGGTGTGTGCACGTGCTCAGTCCATCTCGATGATCAGTCTCAAGACTAGCCTTTCAGCATAGCAGAAGCTTCTTCTTTGTTTCAACGAATGTGATTTGGAAACAGTTGGTTATTGTTATCAATTATTTTAACTGCTGCAATTTGAGCATTTATTGTATTACTTGCATTTAAATCCTCAGCATTTTTTCCCCTTTTTGATTATTTTTTTCCATATGTTCTAAAGAATTGTTTAAGTTAAATACTATTATCCCTTTTTTACAGATGAGAAGACTGATCTGTAAGGACGTTGTGGGAAATCTAAGGATCTTGCCCCGGGTCACCTCGTCAATAATGGATGGGAAAAAGATAGAGACTTCAACCCTGGCTTGTGGATATGCTTTACTTGGCACACAAATAATTTTAAAATTTTAGATTTAAATGTTAACGTTTAAGCATTGGGAGGCTTTAGAAATAAATCCAAATTCCGTATCTCTTGAAACCAGAAGATCCAGCAATGCCACTTGTAAATTCTTGTGTGATAATAGCTAGAGCTGAGTAATAGCTGCTTCTTAGACAGGAGATGAGCTTGCCAAGGACCAGGCTGGGCCTGCTTCCCTCCTTGGTTTGCCCTTCCCAGGCCAGGAGACCTTGGAATTTGTGGTTCCTGCCTTGTTTAACCCCTCCTGTGCTTGGAGTATCAGGCCACCCCTTCCCTTCCTACTTGCCTCTAGGGGAGGAGTGGGATAAGGGAGTAATAAGAATTTTATAAATGATTGCTATCCCACATGGGACATTTTTAAGGATTTCCCTTTCTTTTAGTTTCTTTAGAAATTAAGTTCATTCACAGATCACCACCGAAAATGGAAGAAAGCATTACGTATGAGACCTATAATAGCTGTTTATGAAACTAGGTGAATTGCTGTCTACTTTCACAGCTAGAAAATCATTCTACTTGTGTTCAATTTTAGTATCTGCAACCTTTTCTTTTGACTTGAATTACCAAGTCACATTGCCTGTGCATTTTCAAGTGTGTAAATCTAAGTAAAAAGTTGTATTTTTTATTTGCATTTATTTATCCAACACAGAGTTCAGACATCTTTTCGTATGTTCACCGTCTATTCGTATTTCTTTTTCTGTGAACTATCTCTTCATCTCTTTTGTCTATATTCTGCTATTTGATCTTTCCTTACTGTTTTACAAAAGATTTGTGGATTGTATAGTTTCTTCCCTGTTTGTCTATGTCTTTTGCTTTGTTTTACTCATCCCTCCTTGTCTACGTCTTTCAACTTGGTTACTTTTTTTGGTGGGGGGGGTCATACATAACTTTTTCATTTTTTATAGTTTTATTTTTGTTTATTTATTTGTTTATTTTTGAGATGGGAGTTCACTCCTGTTGCCCAGGCTGGAGTGCAATGGCGCTATCTCAGTTCACTGCAACCTCCGCCTCCCGGGTTCAAGTGATTCTCCTGCCTCAGCCTCCTGAATAGCTGGTATTACAGCAGCATGCCACCATGCCAGGCTAATTTTGTATTTTTAGTAGCGATGGAGTTTTAAATGTTGGCCAGGCTGGTCTCGAACTCCTGACCTCAGGTGATCCACCTGCTTTGGCCTCCCAAAATACTGGGATTACAGGCATAAGCCACCGCCTATTTGTTTATTTTTTTTAGTTGGCATCTCACTCTGCTACCCAGGCTGGAGTGCAATGCCACAATCATAGCTCACTGCAGCCTCAACCGCCTGGACTTAGGTGATTCTCCCACCTTAGCTTCCTTAGTCGCTGGGACCACAGGTGTGCACCACCTTGCCTGACTAATTTTTTTATTATTTGTAGTGATGGGGTCTTGCTATGTTACCCAGGCTGGTCTTGAACTTCTGGGCTCAAGCCATTCTCCCGTCTTAGCCTCCCAAAGTGCTGATATTACTGGCATAAGCCAACATGCCCTGCCTATGTATGTTTTAAAAGAAATCATAAAATTCTGTGTTGGGGGTATGCTGGCAAAGGTTTTCCCTATCCCAAGATTTAAAAAAAATTCATACATTGAGTACTTTGTAGACTTAATTTTTATATTTAAATCTTTGATCCATCTGTGATACATTTTTCTGTAAAATATGGGGTAGAAAATTCAGTTTATCATGTTTCAACTAATTGACTATTTACAGAACGAGTCAAATTTTGTCCACTGATTTGTAATGCCACCTAAAATATTTGTCAAATTCCTTTATATACCAAATCTCTTTCTGGAATATTTATTGTTTAATTTTCTGTTCAAATATTTATTGTGCCAACACCAAACTATTTAATTATTATAATATTGTATTTTAATATATGATTAGACTGGCTGGGCATGGTAGCTCACACCTATAATCTCAGCACTTTGGGAGGCCGAGGTGAGTGGATTGCTTGTATTCAGGAGTTCAAGACCAGCCTGGGCAACATTGGGAGACCCCCATCTCTACAAAAAAATACAAAAAATAGCCGGGCATGGTGGCGCATGCCTATAGTCCCCACCACTCCGGAGGCTGAGGTGGGAGCATTACTTGAGCCTGAGAGGCAGAGGTTTCAATGAGCTGAGACTGCATCCATACTCTCCAGCCTGGGTGACAGAGTGAGACCCTGTCTCAAAAAGAAAACAAACAAACAAAAAAAACCACACACATATATGATAAGACTAATAACCCTTCAAAACCCCTCATTTTCAAAATTTTATATGAAATATTACATTGTTACTCTAACTTGCTTTTTGTCTATATAAAACCCATAAATTCTCAACTTCATTTTGTTTTTTTGTTTTTTTTTGAGGCAGAATCTTGTTCTGTTGCCCAAGTTAGAGCACAGTGGTACAATCTCGGCTGACTGCAACCTCTGCCTCAACAAGGTTCAAGCAATTCTCATGCCTCACCCTTCTAAGCAGCTGGGATTACAGACATGCACCACCACACCCAGCTAATTTTTGTGTTTTTAGTAGAGATGGGATTTCAGCATGTTGGCCAGGGCTGGTCTCAAACCCCCAAGCTCAGGTGATCTACCCACCTCGGCCTCCTAAAATGCTAGGAATACAGGCATGAGCCATTCTACCCAATCGACTTCATTTTCTAATTTTTATTTTTTGTTGGATTCTTGTATGGTTTTCAATGACCTAACTTCATATTTTGTAATAAGCCAGTCATCTTCCTAAATTTCTCCATTGCTTCTAAGTAGTTTTTAGTTGATTAAGTTTGGTTTTCCAGATCATACAATCATATGATCAGGAAAAAGCTGAAAAAGAAAATACATAGGTTAGTCCTAACAACCATCATCACACAGAGAAAGTAGAAGCAATCAGTGAATTTCCATGAAGTTTCCATGACAATATTTATGTCCTACTTCCTACCACCATTTGGCTTCCAGCATGGATGCTTTCCTTCCCTCCTCATTTTACTTTTGGAGAACAGATTGGCCTGATCCCAGCCGTTAGCAGGAGAAAGGTGTAAATGGTAAAGGAAAGCGCAGTTTGGACTAGGCCACAAGAAGGAACAGGTGATACCATCAGATGCTTGTAGGGTTGGAGCAGCCAATGGGCTTGGAGCTATTTGGTCCCTGGCTTACTTAGCAAGAAGGGTGGGGGGACCAAACTCTGTACTTGGTATCCTATCTGTTCCCTCCTTAACAAGATTGTTCTTGCAATCACACTCCCTTTTTCTTCTCTCTCTCTCTCCTTCTCTCCTTCTTTCCTTCTGTCACCCAGGCTGGAGGCACAATCTTGTCCTACTGAAACCTCCGCCTCCCAAGTTCAAGCAATTCTCTTGCCTCAGCCTCCCAAGCAGCTGAGATTATATGTGTCCACCACCAGGCCCAGCTAATTTTTTTGTATTTTTAGCAGAGATGAGGTTTCACCATGTTGACCAGGATGGTCTCGAACTTCTGACCTCAAGTGATCTGCTCTTTTCAGCCTCCCAAAGTGCTAGGATTACAGGCATGAGGCACAGCGCCCACCCCACACTCCTTTTACATCAAATTTTCCTCTACTTTAGTTATTTCCACCAATGTGTAAAGTTACTATTATTTTTCTAATCTTAAAATGAAATATTCAAATTGTGATGAATATAAAAGAAAAAAATGAGATAAAATTTTCTTTGACCCACTTCTTCTCCTCATAGCTTATCTCATTCCTCTGTATACCGCTTTACAGCAAACCTCCTGGAGTGGCCTTGACTTTCCCTCTCCAATTCCTCTCCTCTCATTGTTACTTTCATGTCAGAGTGCTTTCTGCCTCCACCGCTCTGCTGAACTGCTGTTGTTAGGAGTCCTAAAAAAATCTATTTGCAAATGTTATTCAAAGTCCAAGAGTGTAAAATTCAAACTGCATGCTAAAATGTCCGTGTAAAGCAGGTACATACATGAGTATGCGTCACCTGCCAATCTGTTCCTTTACCTGGCACACCTCAGAAGGAGCACATGAATAGTGCACCAACTTTCAGCCACAGGCCAGCGGCTGGAGCCCTCACCTGCATGTTGAGCTGCTTATCGTGCAGAGCTCTCTGCAGCTCCAGCAGGCTCCCCTTGAGCCTCCTCAGCTTTCCAGCCAGCTGCTCAGCCTCATCCTTGGTGTGAGCTTTGCCCTCCAGCAGCAGGTTCTCATTGTGGACTGACAGCTCTGATAAGGCCACCACCTTCTGCTCTATTTCCACCAGCATGTTCTGCAGCAACAGAAATAAAGATGAAACTCAAACATCTCCCCAGCTCTGCAAAGACTGTTTCCCAGAGTGAAACACAGCCCTCTGGAGTCTTTCACCAAATGCACAAGCTTTCATGATTTTTTGTCATTTTCCCATGGTCTTGATGAGTAGGTAGTATACAGATCTTTTTTTTTTTTTTCTTTTTTTTTTTAAGGGAGGGTCTTGCTCTGTTGTCCAGGCTGGAGTGCATTGGCATGAACATGGCTCATTGCAGCCTCCACCTACTGGGCTCAAGGGATCCTCCTGCCTCGGCCTCCCATGTAGCTGGTACCACAGACATGTGCCACCACACCTGGTTGATTTTTTAATTTCTTTCTACAAAAATGAGGTCTCATCGTTTGGGCTCAAATGACGCTCCCATCTCAGCCTCCCAAAAGTACAGGTGTGAGCCACTGTGGCTGGTGACATTTATTTTTAATTGTCTGTTATATTAGAGGAGTCCAAAAAAATTGCCTGAGCTTCTCAATTTTTCTTTTTTCTTTTTTTTTTTTTGAGACAGGGTTTCATCCTGTCACCCAGTGTGGAGTGCAGTAGTGAGATCATGGCTCACTGCAGCCTTGGGCTCAGGTGATCCTCCCACCTCAGCCTCCCAAGTAGCTAGAACTACAGGCACATGCTACTACACCTGGCTAATTTTTTTGTATTTTTGTACAGACAGGGTTTCATCATGTTTCCCAGGCTGTTTCTGAACTCCTGAACTCAAGCAATTTCCCTGCCTTGACCTCCCAATGTGTTGAGATTACAAGTGTGAGCCACGATACCCTGCCAATTTTTCTCTATTTTAAGATTAGCTATCATATAATGAAAAAACATTGAAAAAAAACATGAAAAACATTTTTACATAGCCAACAGATAAGGAGAAAGTCCATTGCTTTAGTGTTATTTCATTATTATTATATTATTTTTGTGTTAGATTTATGATAATTACAACCAATAAAAATAAGACATCATATGATCAACTCTTTCCTTGTTAATTTAAAGAGAATCCTCTCTTTTGAAATGTTAGTGCTTTGGATTGATTTATTTTTCAGGTGCTCTTATATTTTTAAAAAATTTGATATATTGTTAATCTTACATTTCCAAAAGTTTTCTCTACATTTTTACTTTCACGCTCTGGAATAAGTCTCTGGTACTACAGGGTTTTCCTCTAAAATGGAGACTACATTAGAGAAGGAGAAAAATAGTCTTCCTTCTTCCTAGATAAAACTTAAACAAACAAAAAGACTTAAAAAAAATACCTTTTATTTTCTACAGAAATCATTGTTTTTAAATTCTGTAATTCTGCACCCTTTGAAATGTTCTTTCTTATTTATATTAAATAAAGTAATTTATTAATGAGAAAAGATACTTCATTTCCCCTATACAAAATCAAAATTAAGAATATAACGTCAGGATAGGGGTGGTGACTCACACCTGTAATCCTAGCACTTTCAAAGGCCAGGGTAGGCAGATGGCTTGAGTTCAGGAGTTTGAACTGAACATGGCAAAACCCCATGTCTCCAAAAAAATACAAAAAAATAAGCTGGGTATGGTGGCATGTGCCCGTACTCCCAGTTACTTGGGGGACTGAGGTGGGAAACTCACTTGAGCCCAGGAAGTCAAGGCCGCAATAGGCTGGCATTGCACCACTGCACTCCAGCCTGCCCTCAAAAAAAAAAAAAAAAAAAAAAAAAAAAACCCAAAACACTAGAACTAAGCAGAAGTGCAAGACTTTTATTAAATGAGAATTAAAGGATGATTTCCTGAGGATTGTTTTTAAGAAATTAACATAATTCTGTACAGGGTTGATTTTACCATTAGCCACAGCAAGTATAGTGCTGAGGGTCTGTTAGGCATTTTAGAGGCCCAAGAAAATGTTTGACTTTAAATTTTAAAATCAAAAGAAAAAACTGAATATAATAATATGAAATATATAATAATGAATCTATTGAGAATCATGTAAGTCTTTATACCACAGCAACTGTAAAACTGAAAATATATTTTTTAGCACTTTCATGGGGGAAGAGGCCTATAAAAATGAAGTGCCCAGACCCACAAAGGTCATCACGTAGTTTCAATTCTGTGTAAGAGGCATACTTACAATTATTGTGCGACTGGATTAATATTAGATTTTAATTGACAAGATTTTAGCTGGCTTAAATATAAGATTTTACTTGTTTCTAATTAAAATTTGAATTAATTTAATGTAGTAATTAAATATTAGATTTTTTTTTTTTTTTTGAGATGGAGTGTTGCTCTGTCACACAGGCAGAGTGCAATGGCACAGTCTCGGCTCACTGCAACCTTCGCCTCTCAGGTTCAAGCTATTCTCCTGCCTCAGAGTCCCAAGTAGCTGGGAATACGGGTGCTCAACACCATGCCTGGCTAATTTTCTATTTTTAGTACAGACAAGGTTTCACCATGTTGGCTAGGCTGGTCTTGAACTCCTGACCTCGTGCTCTGCCCGCCTTGGCCTCCCAAAGTGCTGAGATTACAGGCATGAGCCACCGTGCCTGGCCTAAATATTAGATTTTTTAAAACTATTTTCTGTTGTGATTTAATATGCTTCTAGTTTCTTAAAGTAAGCTTGTCCAGCCCACGTCCATGGGCCACATGCGACCTGGGACAACTTTGAATGTGGCCAACAGAAATTCAGAAACTTTCTTAAAATGTTATGTGTTTTTTGTGATTTTTTTTTTTTTTTAGCTCATCATCTATCATTAGGATTAATGTATTTTATATGTGGACCAAGACAATTCTTCTTCTTCCGATGTGGCCCCAGGGAAGCCAAAAAATTGGAGACTCCTGTCTTAAAGTATGATCAAAACACTATTTTAATACTTTGAAATAGTCTTGAAATACATTATGTGGTTTATGGACTTTATGCATTACTATAAAAATAGATACCTTCAGAAGGGAGAGGTAACAGTAATGTTAAAACATAACTTTGAAATGTTAGTTTACGTGCTAACTTCAAGTGCTAAAAGGGAATGGACCAGCTGAGGGTGGTGGTTCATGCCTGTAATCCCAGCACTTTGGGGGGCCGAGACGGGCAGATCACCTGAGGTTGGGTAGTTCGAGACCAGCCTAATCAACATGGTGAAACCCTGTCTCTACTAAAAATACAAAAAAAAAATCAGCTGGGCATGGTGGCTCATGCTTGTAATCCCAGCTACTTGGGAGGCTGAGGCAGGGGAATCGCTTGAACCCAGGAGGTGGAGGTTGTGGTGAGCCAAGATCACGCCACTGCACTCCAGCCTGGGCAACAAAAGTGAAAGTCCATCTCAAAAGAATAAAAAAAAGGGAAGGGGGAAAAAAAAATATTTCTTCACAAAAAAAAAAAAAAAAAAAAATTAAAAAGAAGATAGAACTGAAAAAACTTACATATGCCTCTCTAATTAATCTCTGTCATCATGGCAGAGAATAACAGTACTTTGATACACAGAGATAAGTTTCCTAAAGCATTAAAAAATCCAAATGATGATCAATATTATGAATCTGAAATCATAAGAATAGCCAAAATGGTGTACCATAAATTAAGAAAAAAGTTAGTGTTCACTAATTAATAATTTTCAC